TTTTCCTTTCCAATTGCTTCGAACGAGCCCATAACTAAAACAAAAGAAAATTAATCCAAGTTAAGTAAAAATTAATAATTTGACGACATAAAATCCAAGTAATATGACCCAAATAAATGCACAAAATGGACTAATCAAGCTTTATTCTAAAAATTATGACCATTGAACTTTGTAGGATGTTTTTCATTGGACATTAAACTTCTAAAGTTTTTCAGATGGTTAGCGACTTATCAAATCATTATATCATCCATTACTCAAAAACTCACCATTTGGAAATTTAACTAACTCGCTAACGCGGCAAATGATGACAAAATATTATGCAATATTTAATGACCATTTAGATTTTTAACTCTACAAAATATCTGGAAATATCCACTGAAGAACAAAAAATAGGATTATTCAGAAAACGTGTTTTGCTAAATCCACAAGCCATCTATGTTACATGCTTTCAACCACCCATCTTTATAAAAATGGACTATTTAGGTCCACAAGGAGGAAAATCGATTCCCGAATGTTCAGCTCAAATGTATATGAACTGTGATCGCATTCGGATTTATCCAAGTGGTGAACCGGAAAGACTGCCACTCCTCAAGATTAGTCGGGTGAAATTCGGACACCTGAATTATCAAAAAAAGAAAAACATGGACTATTCCATGTTTAACCAACGAATCACATTATCGTCGATATTTCACAATCTTCAAATACTTGAAGGAGGATAGTATTTGGAAATGGGACATAGAAGCACTATATGAATTTATAGGATGTAATCCTTTATTTAATATGTTAGATGGAATATGATTCAGGAAAAAAGGTACAGACAATGCCCTATCCAATTAAACCTAGGATATATTATACATGCCATAGAGATGTCAGAAGGCAATTGGAAGAAAATGCTGTGAGTATGCCGAATGAACCTAGTGCTCAAGAAACCGACATTATAATTCTTGGATTCTATCTGGTTGATTCTCAAGTTCACTAAGGATTACATCAACCTGACACCACTAAGTTTTGCTTCCACTAGGCTTAGAAATAGAACATAGAGACGTGTTTAAGAATGTCTCAAATCTCATAAATCATCTCGACAACATTTTTCTTGCATAAAACAATTTGTATAAGCAAATATGAGAAGTAAAATTGATTTGTTAGCACATCATTAAGAAATACTAGTATTTTGGAATTAGTTTACATTAGTGTAACAGAAACTGCACACTTAATATGCATGTGTAAAGACGTTTCCACACCAAAATTAGATAGGAAAGGACAATAAAACATCTTTGTAACAGAGGTAAATTTGACGTGACTATATAGAAGGGATATCAAAATGTCTTAACATTTTTTACAATCGAAATGTTACTCGATGACATATGTTCATGTTGGGTTTTGATACCCAATAAATCCGGACAATGATATTAAACCGTGTTTTGTATTTGAATTGCTTTATAGGCCTTCGACTGATGAGTAAAGTGTCGACACCACAATCGAACAAACCATTACTACAACCTATTTGGGCCATTGATAGTAGCATAATTTAATTAGTGTTGCTCATTGCCCGACCCAAACTCTTGGACGGCTTGTTGGTTGACAACCCATTTACTTGGTACCTTTTGGGCCTTATTATTTCCTATTGGACCTAACCCTAAAAACCTATATCCGACCTTTATATATGTGTGCCCCATTACTGTTGTTAAGTGGTGTGAGTGAATTGATTGGGGCAGCCGTGAATGTGAAAAAGAGAGATGTGAGGGTCGACTGGCTTGGTGCTTTTCCCTTGGCTTTGTGCCATTTTCTTCTCCCTTTCTCTTAGCCTTTGTGGCTTGTGATTGTGCCTTGAATATTCATCACCCATTGCCCTTTGTGGGTAGTCAAGAAAGCAACCGGTTTGGGAAGATAGGTGAGGTTTAGCTTGTTGATTGTAGTGTCGTTTGTTGGAGAAACTGAGCCCGGAATTGGTTGATTGGAGCCCCAATTCTTACAGTTCATAGGCCATAATCGAAAGAAGATTCAATTGAAAGCTTAAAAAAAGAGGCATGAACTTAATAGCTTCTAAATGAGAAGAACACAATAGAAAACAAAATTTAACATAGGATGGTTGTATAATTTATATAATACATCATTTGATGTTGTGTTACAACTTTTTTGTCCACAACCTGAGTTTTATTCAACAAATTTAAGAAAGATAAAATTGAAGATGAACTTGGCAATCACATTGCCAGGCTATAGGAGCCAAGTAACTTTGTAAGCCCAAATGTAATACCCATAGCCATCCAGCCACCCACCACCGCCCTAGAACAAGATCTTGCCACTGGAGCCTCGCCCATCACTGCCCCAACTCCTCCAAAAGCAACCAATGCTAAGGTGACTGCTGCCACCATAACTCTTAGCCTCACCTTAAAATTTTCGGTGAATGCAGCTGCAAGTAATGGTACAATGGAGCCTAAAGAAAATGCCAGGGCTTATGCCATGGCTGCCTGCCTAGGGGTTGGGGAGTGTTGGGAGGAGATCACATTGGTCAGCTCATAAGTAAACAAACATATATGTAGAAGTAACAAAAACCGAACTGAAATAAGAGTAGTAAAAATCGAACACAAAACATAAACTGCAAGAATCAGAAACTGCTATAATCGAACTCAGTTGAAGCTGAAAAACACAGAACAGTAAACTGTAAAATGAACACTTATCTTTATTATCAAAGATCCACAGATAGAGTTCAAACAATCAATGTCTCAGTCACTGAACAACAACCATTCGAACATAAACCACAACTAATGTATGGATTACAAAGAGTTTAAGCACTCAGACTAAACCCGTATTTCACACAAGAACAACACTCTCAACTAAAAGAAGAATCACACAAGATTACAACTCTTTCGAGAGAACAAAGAAATCAAAAGAGTATTTTTGATTTCAACAGAAATATTGAGAGAAGAGACTCGAAC